AAATTTTAAATTTTGAAAATTCAAAATTTTTCGAGTTTCGACATTCTTTTTTAAGTTTTTAGAATGTTCTTAGTTACCCCTAGAAATTTTTAGTGATCCCTAGTTCTTTCCTTACAGCGATACAATTCATTCAAAATTGTTTTCCCTAAAAATTTTTGATTTCATCATCGTTAGAGCAAGTGTGTAACACATGCAAACGCAAAATATTTGCAAAAGTAGGTTAGAAAGAAAACAAACAAATAAATTAAGATCACCAAAGACCTACAGTCTTGAGAAAAAGAGATCACCGATAATTTTCACCGATATGACGTAGTAGTTAAGGAAAAAATAAAAATTCTTGATGAGGTTATGATATCTTGTTGAATAATATACCGCGATTATTAAGAACTGGCTTTCTGCCAACGATACTTGTCATCGAAAGAAAAACGGACACTGAGAATCAAGGGAGTAAAAAGGAGACGAAACATTCGGGTCATTGTCGCTCTATAATTAGAACCAAGGGTCTACATTACTTTGGTTGGATCATATTCGAATAGTACTGGAGGCAATTATAATTATCTCGAAGAACGTTTGGATATGTTACATGTTCAGTTAATTATGGAACTATGTATGAATCAACGAAGAGATTTTGGGTTATTATACGGATCGCTAAGTTTAATTTGAATATCTTGTTTAATCAACTCTTACTAATCAACTGTGATGTAAGAAAATGTAATGTTTTAAATTTTTTATTATTTCTTAAATACATTATTATATATTTTATGTGAAGAAAAAATTTAAAAAAAAATTAAGTTAGATTAGATTTGATTAGTATTTATATAATCAATCATTTATGAACTATTTATGAAAAAGATATTTTTGAATTTTTTTTAAATTATTAGATTATTGTATCTTTTTTAAAAAATTTAAGAGAATCAAATTCGATTTCTAAATAAACGTGTATATTATTTATTCGCATTATGCGAATGAATTTATTATCATAATTTATTTTCTTCATATGCATTATAAAATAAAATCGTATTTCGGTATTCACTGTTACTTCATCGTAACAGATACTTGCCACATTCGCCGATGATTGCAATCATACAAAGCTATGTAAATAACTTCCATGGGTTTTAGTTTACATAGCAATAACCTCAAGCATATCTAGTTTTGTTTGTAAACATTTTGTGTTTGGCTTCGAAAATTAGTCAGACGTATACTACAAATTTTCCATTTTTAGAAATGTTATTTGTATTGTCCATTTTTTTTAAATTATTTTAAGAATGTTTTCAACCATTGATAGCTATTGTAAAATATCTTATAATAGTTTTTGCTTAATAATGCTAAATTGCAATCGTTTATTTTGTTAAACTATGTAATATATTCATTTCGTAGAAATAATCTCATTCGCAATGAATGTGAATATCCATTCTGGTTTATTTATGCAAATGGCGACATAGTATATTTATTTTTTTTTTCAATATTAAAATGAGAATATAGTTTAAAATCGAAAAATGTTTGTTCAAAAATCATAGAAATGATGCTTGCGAAACATTAAAATACACATATCACTAATATTTATATCTGTATACTTTTTTTTTCAAACCTAACTATCTAACCTAACTAAACTAATCTAACCTAATTATAAAGAAAAGTATTTGATAACTAATAATAGCACAAAAAGAAGAATTTTATTTTTATATTTTAATCTTTAATGTAAATAATATTAAAAAATAAATATATTAAAAAAAAATTAACAATTTTTTTTCAATGGATCTTATTTTCTTAAATTTACAAAAAAGAAGGAAATCGCATGGCCAACCGTCTATTCTAACGATCGATATTGAATCAAGTCTATCTAATTCCGTTTAACAACATGTTCTAGTTGAAGAGATCAGTTGAAAGGTGACGGTGGAGAAACGTCTTTGACCAAACGTCAAGGCGACTCTCGCGATAGCGACCCTCGGTGACGAAGTATAACGGCTAAAAGTTTAACGAGTTAATATGCTTAGGGTTTCCTTCTTGGCAATGAACTAGATATAAGCTTCTGTAAGCACCGAGTAAATTCCTCGGCCGTAGCCGCAACCAGTTCGCTCGTTATCCGGATCGGCTTTTCTTATTGCCAAATCTTTTTCGATGCGATTATGTGTAAACGAATTAGAATTCAAGCAGAATTAAGCACGAAGATATTCAACCTAAGTTGCGAATCTCACTGAAAAAGTGTAATAGTGGGAGAAAGTTTACTCGAGAGTGGGAGAAAGTAATAGTGGGGGAAATAAAGATGGAGGAACAAGGAGTGACTGGTGTTATATTGCATCATACAACAGAGTACTCGCCATTTGTTTTTCCACCATCATTTTTCCCACTACTATTTTCTCTTCGCTCTTTCCATAGCGAGATTTTCAAGAAATCTTGTGTCAAAATCGATATCGATGTAATGTATGAAGTAAATTGTGTAAAATATGCCAAGTAACATCGATATTTTTTGTTTGTTTATGTGTGATTTGTGATCAATTGTGTTTCTATAGAAAAGTATGTAAAATCTTTCGACTTTGGTTTACGAAATTCAAGTCTGATAATAAAATTCTTTTTTCTCGATAGAAAGAATAACAAGTATAATTTAACAAATATTGAAATATTATTAAAAATAGTCTATGTAAACATCAAGATGAATAACGTCTCGACTAATATTAAGCCGTTCTACTATTATTCGTTATTTCAACAGGAAAAATAAAGAATATGGACAAATGGGTTTTGCACCAGTTATACACAAAAGCTTCGACGGTTAGGAAATCGACACCTTGTTACTCGAAAGAAATAAACAGGATTCCCTTTTAAAATTGATCGTTACTTATGAATGAAAAATGGATCTCATATATTATTATTGACTCAAAAATGTTGAATCATTTTTTTGTTCTTTTTTTCATATAACCTCTCTTCAATTTCGTTATTAATTTAAAGTTATCATTACAGATATCAATCGTAATTTCGTTCAGTTCGATATTAAACAAGATATAAAATAAAATTCACAAACATGAAACAATAAATACCAATCGATCGATTACCTGGAGAAACAGCATGAAGCAGACCCATTGATAGTACCTGTACTCCTTCCTCTCCGCCTCTGGATGCGATTTGGAATTATCCACTCCAGGGAACGGTACTTCGAATCCTTCCCGTTTTCTATAAGCCGCTGTGATCGTGTACGTACTATGGATCCAGCAATACGTATTCAGCACGTCCTCCGGTAAATCCTTGCTATGGATACAATCGATCGGATTGCCAACGTATTGTCTCGTAGTGACGATCAACGAAAATGAGATCAAGAGGATCACGGTAAAACTGTAATGCAATCGAAATACAGCTGTATCGATGTGCACATGGGAGATCTTGATCAGGCTCTTCAGGCCCCGGAATATGTCCAGCATCTTGGATATTTGAAGAAACGATAAAGTTTCTTCGTTTTCTCTCTCTCTCTCTCTTTTTTTTTTGTTACACGACGAAACGGTGTATTATTGAATCACCAACGATTCCAGACATCGTTCGTCGATCTTTTTAATACTTTTTACATCTTTCGATCTCTTTGATCCGATTTCTAACCTAACCTAAAATACGAGGCGTTTTTGTTAAGAGGTTATGTTCGTCTCAAGGTTCAAAAATTTTATTCGTTATTCGTTTGAAGTTGTTCCAACGTTGACAGAGATAAATGTTTGATCGTTTTGATGGAAAAAGAAGAAATTCTTGCAATTCGGCTGCGTTTTCTTCGAAAGAAATCGCCGACGTGGGATCCTTTAAATCGGTCGGATCCTTTGTCGTCGTTAATTTCCTTTCACTCATTCTTCTTTACTTTATATCATTTTTCCATTAATGCTTTTGCTTTTGATTCACAAATTTTCTTCGATTTAAGTGTCCGAGGATATGGATGTCCAAATATGTGCTCTCTTGGATATTTTTGAATATTCGTCGGATAAATTCATGTTTTCAATATGCTTGGAATGATATTTCTTAGTAAAAATGTCTTTAAGATTCTTTCTTTCTTTTGTTCTTTGCTTTCTTTCTTGGAAAAAAGAGAAACACGTATTTCAATATTGAAGAAATATCTTCTTTTCAATCGATCGATGAAGAGATGTGAGATTATAAAAAATTTATATCTTTTTTTGAACATTCATTATTTCATTTATTGAATAATTATTTTATTTGGTAATTTTATTTGGCAGTTGAGATAAATCACTCGAATTTAACACAAAAATATCCATTTAAAGAAAATTTGCACTTTGTATACTACACTTATAACATTCCTAGATTTAATGATCACCATGTAAATATGTTTCTCATTCACCATTAAAATTTTTTTTAACAAATCACATCCTCGATAAATATAAAGAAAATCTACTAAAAAACTCTCACTAAAAAAAAATCACTTTTAGAAAATTGTTTAAATATATTACAAATATAAGAATCATTTTAATCATTACATTAATAGTATTAATATTTTATGATATTTTAATTGAATTTGGCATCAGTTCATTTTTATGAGTATATTTTTATAATTTGATATTTCATTAATCTTCTCTAAGTCTATTTATATTTGGTTACAGAAAAAGATTATTTTTATATGTATCCTTTTGCATTCAATTTGTTAAAAATAAATTCAAAGTTTAAAAAAAGAAAAATTGTATCAAAAAAAATCTTGTATATTATCAGAAACAACTGAAA